ATTAATTAATTAATTAATTAATTAATTAATTAATTCATTCATTCATTCATTCACTACTCTGGATTTCCTTATTCTATTCTCATCTTCCTCTTGCAAATCAACTACAACATCAAAATAACAAATAAATGCTAGCTTCTTGCCTGCGTTCTGCCAAACTCAGCATCAGATTTTCAGGAACGTTTCTGAGCCCCAGGCAAATCCTAAAAGCATTCTTTGAAAATAAAATGATGTGTGAGTGTATTCCAGTGTTTTATGTGAAAATGTATTCACTTGCCAAGGGATGATGACAGCAGCAACAACAACAGCAACAAACAGGGACTTGTGAGGGGGAGGAAAGACCAACAAGAAGTATTTATTTTCTGTTAAACTGAATTTTATGGCCTAGCTGAACAGGACAAACATTTTTGTATTTAGCTTAATTTGGTTTACAGATGAAGAAGGCCAAGTGACTCACAGAAGGAGAGCCTTATATTTATAATTAATCTGACACAATAAACTATAGCTTTACAATTCAACGTAGTCAGTGAATGATTTTATCAACGAAGCCATACCTATGCATCAGAATTCAGTAATTTTCCTAGAGTTCACAGGTGATCAGGTGGGTTAATATTCCATCATGATGGTTAATTAGGAAAAGCATTATTTGGGCTTCCTGCCAAGATGAGCAAAAAAAGCAGCACAAGAACATCTGTAAGTCTAATGTGGTTGGACTAGAATTCCTCCAAGGTCCTTTTCAACTCTGTTATTTTATTATTCTGTTACTGCTGTACTTTCCAAATTTTATAGGAGAGGAGGCAATCAAACATGCCATTAAGTCTTTTTAAAAAATGCTTGACAACTGCCTGGATATGTCCCTGCAATTTTCTTGACAATGTTTTTCAGAATTATTTCGCCATGGACTGCTTCCCACAGAGAGGCTGAGAAAAAGTGACTGTCTCAAGGTCACCCAGCATGAGTAGAAATGATGGTCTTCCAGTTTCTAGGCTGATGTCTTAACCATTCCACCAAATGGGCTCTCTATATTTCCCCCCAACTTTTGCATTAGAATATTGTTAAATCTTCACTCCATTGAAGAAGGCAAACTCATGAATCTTAGAGAGTATAAGAATTATAAGATTAATATAAGATGCTGGCTAGATTAAATGGCTCAAATTGAGTATTCCAAACACGTTGTATTCAAAATGGGGAAACTTCTTAGATATTTGTGAACATGATTGCCAACAGCCTTTTGCTTCAATCACTTAAGATTATTTCAATGTCAACTGAAACTGAACTGCCAGTTCAGTTTAAACCATAAAATATTATAATTGACCTTGATATATTATGAAGTATTTTATCAAGGTCAATACACATCTCCCATTCTTCCAAAATCAGGGAACTGGAAGAACTATCACAAAAAAATCCTAAAACCTAAATTTCAGATAACAAAAGCATGTCCATGTTTTAGCGGAGATTAGGCCAGATTCCAATCTGATCAGGAATTTCATTGCGGACTCCCAATAAAGCTGGTAGAAAATTGGATTGAACAGTTTCGAGAAGGATTAAGTCACAGTAATTACTATGTTCCATATATCAACTGGCTCATGACCTTTGCAGCAGCTTCTTTATTATAGTCATTGAGATTTATTTAGTACAGAATAACATTTGTTGGCCCTGGCAATGATCTTTAGATTGAGAAAGCCAATAGTGAGTCATTAACTCACTGAATTTAATTGATACTGGACCTGCTAATTGTCTGAACAAGATGATGAATGTGAGGCCTGTGAGGAAAAAAAATGAGTATTTTTGTTTGGAGATAGTTGATAACTTGTCTTTCTTTTCTGAAATAGACAGATGGGGCTCCATATTAGNTCATTAGGTGGCCAAAGTATTTGAGTTTCATCTTCAGGATCTGGCCTTCTAAAGAGCAATCAGGGTTGATCTCCTCTAGGACTGACCGGTTTGATTGCCTTACAGTCCAAGGGACTCGCAGGAGTCTTCTCCAGCACCATAGTTTAAAGGCCTCAATTCTTTGGCACTCAGCCTTTCTTTTCGTCCAATTTTCACAGCCATCCATTGCAACTGGGAAAACCATAGCTTTGACTATACACACTTTTGTTGGCAGGGTGATATCTCTGCTTTTTAATTTTAAATTTTCCTACAGAATTGTAAAAACAGAATGATCGGGGACATCTGCTGACAGTCCTATTCTTCTGTGTGTTGCAAGAGGAAGGGGATTAACATGTGTCAAAATTAGAGTAACTTGAATTGTGCTAGGACAGGATGGCTACATGGCTGCAGAACAACAGAGATATAATCAAATTTCTTACTGTCTAGTTTTAGTTTATAAGTCTAGCCAAGTCATCATATTGGCTTTTATGATAAAATTATTATGATTTCTCTCTCTATTACACACACAAACTTTCTTCTCCTGTGAAGATATAATCTGACAAAGAAAATTCAGATTCTTCCTCCCTCTTTCCAGCTACTACATCTGCTTCATTTCCAATTTCTCAAAGGACCAAAAGAAAACATTTGCCTGCTTGAGCCAACCAACAGTTGGTGTCCATTCTCAGTTTAAACTAACTGTACTATCAACATACTCTCCATCACTGTTGATGGAGAGTATTCTCACCATTCTTCTTGGTCAGGTTAACATGGTCAGGACAGATAAGCTTTCTTATCAAATGCTCTGCTATCACCTCCAAACATTGCTTACCTGAAGTGGCCATCACTGTTTGCTTAATGATGAAATTCAGGTAATTCTGGATCTCCATTTACCCACTATTTCCTACAATTCCTCTTCCAGCATAGACTGACTTACCTTGTTCTTACTTCTGATGTGAGAATGCTTTGATTCTAGGATAGGGAGGGATAACCACTGGTAGGTTCTGGCAGGTACATCCCGGTATGGCCGTAACAGTAGTAGCTGGGAGCAACGGCCATCGTACCCACCCTCCCGCCCTCCCGCGTTCCATACCTGTTTTTAAAGCAACTGACCAATTGTGCAAGCGCGCACAACGTGCGGCACTGGCACTACCTCCAAGAAGTAGCTAGGTGTCGCAGGGGCAATGACCAGGATGCCCGGCCTCATGCGCAGTGTATCATTAGCAAGAGGAACCCACCACTGGGGATAACCTTTTCATTGCTAAAGCTGGCCTCATTTGAAATTGGAAATGGGGAATGAAGACTATACAAAGTCTTTTCTTTTCATATTTCATCAGCAAGTGAAGATAGTAGCCACAGAGGCACAGTGGTTAGAGTGAAGTACTGCAGGCTACTTCTGATGACTGCCGGCTGCCTGCAATTTGGCAGTTCGAATCTCACCAGACTCAAGGTTGTCTCAGCCTTCCAGCCTTCCGAGGTGGGTAAAATGAGGACTCAGATTGTAAGGGGCAATATGATGGCTCTGTAACCCACTTAGAGAGGGCTGTAAAGAATTGTAAAGCAGTATATAAGTCTAAGTGCTATTGCTGTAGTGGATGTCTGAATGTCTTGCTGTTTTGGTTGTTCACATGCATTTATTGTTTTTGTCTATTCAGATTTCTTAAATTG